TAAGATGGGCAGTCTGAGATATGGCTTTTTCTTTGCAACTCTGCCTAGAAGGTCAGCATCCCGGAGTCGCCTCTTCACTGTTGACGTTGAGACTGGTGTTTTGCGGGTACTATTTAATGAAGCTGCCAGTTGAGGACCTGTGAGGCGTCTGTTTCTGGCTATTTTGAGCCTGTAATCGAACCCACAATTGCTGATGCTCCAGATACTCAACTAGTCTCAAGAAGGCCAGTTTTATTGCTTATTTAATCAGTACAACAGTTTTCAGCTGTGCTAACATAATTGCAAAAGGGTTTTCTAATGATCAATTAGCCTTTTAAAATGATAAACTTGGATTTGCAAACACAACGTGCCATTGGAACACAGGACTGATGGTTGCTGATAATGGGCCTCTGTACGCCTATGTAGATATTCCATTAAAAATCAGCCGTTTCCAGCTACAATAGCCATTCACAACATTAACAAATGTCTACACTGTATTTCTGATCAATTTGATGTTATTTTAATGGACAGAAAAATTGCTTTTCTTTCGAAAACAAGGACATTTCTAAGTGACCCCAAACTGTTGAACGGTAGTGTATATATATTCTATACATATATATATATATATATATATATATATATATATATATATATATATATATATATATATATATATATATATATATATATATATATACTTAAGCAATAAGTATTTGTGGTATATGACAAAGTGCCTTCGGAAAGTATTCAGACCCATTGACCTTTTCCACATTTTGTTACTTTACAGCCTTATTCAAAAATGTATTAAATTGTTTTTTTCCCTCATCAATCTACACACAATACCCCATAATGACAAAGCAATAACAGGTTTTAGCAGTTTTTGCTAATTTATTAAAAATAAAAAAACAGAAATATTACATTTACATAAGTATTCAGACCCTTTACTCAGTACTTTGTTGAAGCACCTTCGGCAGCGATTACAGCCTCAAGTCTTCTTGGGTATGACGCTACAATCTTGGCACACCTGTATTTGGGGAGTTTCTCCCATTATTCTTTGCAGATCCTCTGCTGAACGGGTTCAAGTCCGGGCTCTGGCTGGACCACTCAAGGACATTCAGAGACTTGTCCCAAAGCCACTCCTGCGTTGTCTTGGCTGTGTGCTTAGGGTCGTTGTCCTGTTGGAAGGTGAACCGTCACCCCAGTCTGAGGTCCTGAGCGCTCTGGAACAGGTTTTCATCAAAGATCTCACTGTACTTTGCTCTGTTCATCTTTCCCTCGATCCTAACTAGTCTCCCAGTCCCTGCCACTAAAAAACATCCCCACAGAATGATGCTGCCACCACCATGCTTCACCTTAGGGATGATGCCAAGTTTCCTCCAGACAGATGCTTGGCACCTTTCCAACAAGTCCGTTTGTCAAATTTCTGCCCTGCTAGAGCTGCCCCGGCCAATTGTAAAGCGCTGTTATTGTGAATTGGAAACGTCTAGGAGCAACAACGGCTGTCCTCGGTTGCAGAACTCACTACTGAGTTCCAAACTGCCTCTGCAAGCAAAGTCAGCACAAGAACTGTTCGTTGGGAGCTTCATGAAATGGGTTTCCAAGGCCGAGCAGCCGCACACAAGCTTAAGATCACCATGCTCAATGCCAAGCGTCGGCTGGAGTGGTGTAAAGTTCGCCGCCATTGGACTCTGGAGCAGTGTAAACGCGTTCTCTGGAGTGATTAATCATGCTTCACCATCTGGCAGTCGATGGACGAATCTGGGTTTGGTGGATGCCAGGAAAACGCTACCTGCCCGAATGCATAGTGCCAATTGTAAAGTTTGGTGGAGGAGAAATTATGGTCTGGGGCTGTTTTTCATGGTTCGGTCTAGGCCCCTTAGTTTCAGTGAAGGGAACTCTTAACAGTACAGCATGCAATGACATTCTAGACGATTCTGTGCTTCTAACTTTGTGGCAACAGTTTGGGGAAGGCCCTTTCCGTTTCAGCATGACAATGCCCCCGTGGGATGAATTGGAATGCTGACTGCGAGCCAGGCCTAATCGCCCAACATTAGTGCCCTACTTCACTAATGCTCTTGTGGCTGAATGGAAGCAAGTCCCCGCAGCAATGTTCCAACAACTAGTGGAAAGCCTTCCCAGAAGAGTGGAGGCTGTTATAGCATATTAACGGACATGATTTTGGAATGAGATGTTCGACAGCAGGTGTCCACATACTTTTGGTCATGTAGTGTACCACGGCTAAGGGCTGTTCTCTGCATGACGCAACACGGAGTGCCTGGATACAGCCCGTGCACCACAAATCCCCAAAGTGCCTTATTGTTATTATAAACTGGTTACCAACTTAATTAGAACAGTAAAACCTTTTTTTTTTGTCATATCCGTGGTATACCACGGCTTTCAGCCAATCAGCATTCAGGGCTCGAACCACCCAGTTTATAATTTTATATAGAGTACAGAGTTTGTAATGTTGTTCCACCCAAATCCCATAAACAAGCGATCAAACACAATATTCGAATTGGTCATCGTATATAAGCGACAGTGTCTCCATACAGTAAATTACTTTGAAATGTGACATTCTTTGACCTGACCTCTAACTTCTGACCTTAATCTCTGCCCCCTGTAGTGGACCCCCACGGGGACGGTGTACGACTGATAGAGGAGAGCCCAACAGAGGCCCTGAAGGACCTGAAGGAACAGTTAGGCTACAGAGACTCCTCTTCGGCTCTCAGCAACCGCTTCCGCAGCTACATCAAGGCAAGGGCCTTCTCTCACTCTCCCTCTCTCTCTAGCTCTCTAGCTCTCTCTCTCTCTCTCTCTCTCTCTCTCTCTCTCTCTCTCTCTCTCTCTCTCTCTCTCACTCACTCACTCACTCACTCACTCACTCACTCACTCACTCACTCACTCACTCACTCACTCACTCACTCACTCACTCACTCACTCACTCACTCACTCTGAAAGACTTGGTTTAAAGTGACTTAGGCGAGCAACGTGCTGAATTCACACATTTTGACATTTGGGGTTAACTATCCCTTTAATAACTGATTTTGGTCATATTTTTCTACCTGAGTCTCAGCCTCATCCATTATGAGCTACACTCTTAGAAAAAGGGTTCCAAAAGGGTTATTTGGCTGTCCCCATAGGATAACTGTTTTTGGTTCCATGTGGAACCCTCTGTGGTAAGGGTTCTACGTGGAACGCAAAAGAGTTCTACCTTGAACCAAAAAGGGTTCTTCAAAGGTTTCTCCTATGGGGACATCCGAAGAACCCTTTTAGGTTCTAGATAGCACCTTTTTTTCTAAGAGTGTAGCTGTCTAGGCTGACTCTGGAGCTGTTACTAAGGGAATAATTTAATGTGCACCCTATTATACACTACAGTATGACATCCATAAAGGCTGTCTGTATTGTGAAAGATTCATGAGGAAATGGCTGTGCTGTAAATAATGAAAGAGTTGGTGTTTTTAACAAAAGGAAAAGGGAGATTCCACACCAGGATAGCCCAGGATAACCCATTATCCCTCTTTTATTCTCTGCCTGTCTATCAATTCAATTTAATTCAAAGGGCTTTATTGGCATGGGAAACATATGTTTACATTGCCAAATCAAGTGAAATAGATAATAAACAAAAGTGAAATAAACAATCAGAAATTAACAGTAAACATTACACTCACAAAAGTTCCAAAGGAATAGAGACATTTCAAATGTCATATTATGGCTATATACAGTGTTGTACTGATGTGCAAATAGTTAAAGTACAAAAGGGAAAGTAAATAAACATAAATATGGGTTGTATTTACAATGGTGTTTTTCACTGGTTGCCCTTTTCTTGTAGCAACAGGTCACAAATCTTGCTTTTGTGATGGCACAATGTGGTATTTCACCTAATACAGTAGATATGGGAGTTTATCAAAAAAAAAAATGTTTTCGAATTCTTTGTAATCTGAGGGAAAGATGTTTCTCTATGGTCATACATTTTGCAGGAGGTTAAGGAAGTGCAGCTCAGTTTCCATCTCATTTTGTGGGCAGTGTGCATATACTGTAGCCTGTCTTCTCTTGAGAGCCAGGTCTGCCTACAGTGGCGTCTCTCAATAGCAAGGCTAATTTCACTAAGTCTGTACATAGTCAAAGCGTTCCTTAATTTTGGGTCAGTCACAGTGGTCAGGTATTCTGTTTAGGGCCAAATAGCATTCCAGTTTGCTCACTTTTTTGGGTGAATTCTTTCCAATGTGTCAAGTAATTATCTTTTTGTTTTCTCATGATTTGGTTGGGTCTAATTGTGTTTGTGAACAGAGCCCCAGGACCAGCTTGCTTAGGGGACTCTTCTCTAGGTTAAGCTCTCTGTAGGTGATGGCTTTGTTATGGAAGGGTTGATAATTGGCGGGTAGTCTGCTCTAATTCTGCTCTGCATGCATTATTTGGTGTTTTATGTTTTACACAGAGGATTTCTTTTACAGAATTCTGCATTCACAGTCTCAGTTTGGTATTTGTCCCATTTTGTGAATTTTTGGTTGGTGAGCGGACCCCAGACCTCACAACCGTAAAGGGCAATGGGTTCTATAACTGATTCAAGTATTTTTTGCCAGATCCTAATTGGGATGTCAAATTGTATATTCCTTTTCATGGCGTAGAAGGCCCTTCTAGCCTTATCTCTCAGATCGTTCACAGCTTTGTGGAAGTTACCTGTGGTGCTGATGTTTAGGTCTAGCTCTCCCTGTCTCTCTTTCTCTCTCCCCCTCTCCTTCCCTCCCCTGCTGTCCCATGTGTGTGTGACAGTGAAAGGCAGGGTGGTCTCATCTAAAACCCCATGTGGATTGTGTCAGCAGATCTTTGAGGGAGGGAGGGAGGGAGGCACACTGGCCTGCTTATACACTCTCATTCACTAGGAAAAATTTAAGTGAACCGCAGCCAATCGCTGGCTTGTTCTCTGGATCATGTGACTTGACTGCAGCTGGTGCTGATGTCGCGTGTGTGTCTCGGTGTGTGTGTGTAACTCGGTGTGTATGTGTGTGTTCTTGCTCGTGCAGGGACGGACGGCAGACTACGACGAGCCCCTCAGGATAGAGGAAGACACACACTGGGCCTCTGAGCAGACGTGAGTATCCCTCCATCCATCTGTCTCTCATCTTTCCTCCATCCAGTTCTTTCTCTTTTTCTCCTCCCTCTCTCTGTTCACTGTAGTGGGTGGGTCTCTGTGTGTCAGTCTGTTTCTGTCCCCTCTATCAGTCTCTCTCGCTCTCTCTGCTATAAGGTGTTTTTCCTCTTTATACTGTATGCTTCTATGGGCAGTACTCTTTGCCCATCTGTATTCAAGTTGGTTGATGTACACTGTCAGCTCTTTACTGTAAGCTAGAGTAGAAACGTCTTTGGTGGCTTTTGAGAAGCTGTGCTCCTCGTAAGTTGTTCTTGGCTCTTAGCTGATTATAATACTATTACACCTTTCTCACTTTAACTATGATACTGGCCTTATTTAATAATCATTGTTACCAGCATGTTCAGGATCATTTTCAAGGTGAAATTGGTCATTGCCATGATCATAATAATGATTGTTATCTTCATAAGCAGATCTCTATATGAAGTACCATTGGAATGTTGCATTGTAAACTTGAGTACCGTTATCCCTACTGAGTCAGAGGTTACATTTCTGACCTAAACATGTACATCCCCAAACCCAACAGATGGCTCATTATCATATTATGCAGAGAGAGGCAGTCAAAATCTCCCACACAGCCCAACACTAACACTAATATATTATCCACCACGCGTCATCTAACCATATTTCAGGTCAATGTTGTGAGGAATTGTGGGTGAAATGTCCCACTTGGCCATATCAGAATGTTGTCATTGTAGCTACCATGATGTCTTTGTGTATTTTTGCTGAGTCAGAGCCCACTCTTAGATGAAAGATAGAGACCCACACACTGTCGAACAGGAGAATGTGGCCCAAAAAGGGGCTTGGGATTTAGAAATATGCTCTTTATTTAAACAAACCATCACCATACTATTTTCTTGCCACAGCAAAGCTATGTGTGTTCTGCTACATATCACACCATGTATTTTGTTTGTGCCTTTATCTATACCAGGGCAACATTAGGTTAGAGTTTAGATTTCTTTTAAATGCATGACGTATTCGAAAGCATGTTTTATTGATGAAACACAGCTCTGAATTGTAAACAATATGACTCACTTCCTGTTTCCTGTCCCGTAGGTCAAAGGTCACAGAAGGAACGCACATTGCCATGATCAACCAGCTGAAGGAGGCTGTGGAGCTACTACAAGACCCTAACAGGTGGGCTCCGTTATGAATCTGTTATAATACTGGTTAATTCTGGTTATAGCTGGTTATAATACTATTACACCTTTCTCACTTTAACTATGATACTGGCCTTATTTAATAATCATTGTTACCAGCATGTTCAGGATCATTTTCAAGGTGAAATTGGTCATTGCCATGATCATAATAATGATTGTTATCTTCATAAGCAGATCTCTATATGAAGTACCATTGGAATGTTGCATTGTAAACTTGAGTACCGTTATCCCTACTGAGTCAGAGGTTACATTTCTGACCTAAACATGTACATCCCCAAACCCAACAGATGGCTCATTATCATATTATGCAGAGAGAGGCAGTCAAAATCTCCCACACAGCCCAACACAAACACTAATATATTATCCACCATGCGTCATCTAACCATATTTCAGGTCAATGTTGTGAGGAATTGTGGGTGAAATGTCCCACTTGGCCATATCAGAATGTTGTCATTGTAGCTACCATGATGTATTTGTGTATTTTTGCTGAGTCAGAGCCCACTCATTGTCACACACACTGTACCACATGCTGCTCCCTCCTACTCTGCAACATGTATGGTAGCAGTAATAATGTATTTGGCTGTCTTCCCTGGTTCTGTGAACATATAGTTCAGTGCAGGGACTGGAATGACTCCAGGGCTGGCTCACTGGAGGTAAAAGACAGTCATTGGGCATTGAGCTGTGAAGCTGTGAGGATCTGTGTAGTTGTCTGACCCCCCTACTCTGTCTCTCTCTCTCTTTCTCTCTATCTTTCTCTCTCACTCTTTCTACTCTCTCTGCTCTCAGAGTGAGTATGGAAACAGAGGACCTATCTGGAGTTCAGCTTTACCCTGTTGAGATGGTCATGGTGGAAGACTCTCTCAAGTAAGACTGTTTGTGTGTGTGTGTGTCTGTGTGTATGTGCGTTGCGTGCACACGTGCGTTATTTCTTACTCTCTCTCTGTCTCTCTCTCACTACAGTGGCCAAGACAGTGACGGCAGTGAAGGACAAACCACACCCAAGGTGAGACATCATTCCTATGAGAATCACGTATGTGGTTTTACTGCATAATGTACACACCTACAGTGCATTCGGAAAGTATTCAGACCCCTTGCTTTTTCCACATTTTGTTACGTTACAGCCTTTTTTTTATTTAGGGGGTAGATCAGCTTTAATATTGCAGATAGATTGTAACTTCCAACAATGTAATTGTCTGCATCACTTCCAATCCCCCATATGTTTCTTTTTCTTTTTTTTCTCTCGCATATATATATATATATATATATATATATATATATATATATATATATATATATATATATATATATCCTTTAAAAATCTATATATTTCCCTTTATTACTTTCTAACCACACTATCCCTTCCCTAATTGGAGTAAACTAGTGAACAACAATGCTTAGGCCTCTACTTCATGCGTATACATACTATATACATTTTATGGACACAGTCAATAATTATAATTTGTTTGTTTTTACTCCTGAACTTCCTCCGATCATTTTCATGATGTCCATCTGGTATGCTTCTATATGCCATATCTTTGTAACTGTGCTCTTTCACAAAAGCTCACAATATTTAACCTATATACTTATTATGGACACAGCATGTCTTACACTAGTTATCTTGTTGTTATTAGTTGTTGTTGTTAGTCCCATCCTTCAGCTCCATTCAACACCTCCCATCTATCGCTTTACACCATCCATATTGGATTTCTATTTGCCATATATTTTTCAACTGTACTGTGATGTTTTACAAAAGTTCTGAACCTTTTTATTCTCATTGTTTCTACAGTTTGTGAATTGAAAATAAAAATTGTTTCTAAAAGTATTATTATATTATTGATCGATTGACTATGACTTTTCAGATCACCCAGTAGTGCTATCTGCAGGGTCAGCTCCATGCAAATATTGCAATCCTTCAGCCATTCCTGGACCTGTGTCCAGAAACAAGCTACAAATGGACAGTACCAAAGCAAATGATCTAATGATTCTGTCTCTTCACAGCCAAATCTGCAGAGCTGGGAAGATTGCATCCCCCATACAAATAACATTCTATTGGTAGCAAGAATTTTATATAATAATTTAAATTGAACAATTCTAAGTTTTGAATCCGGCGTCGTTTTGCGTATCAGTTCATAAACACTATGCCATGGAATCGGTATGTAAAAAATCTCTTCCCAACTATTTTGCAATCTATATGGGACGGCTGTCAATCTTTTGATCCTTAAATGAAACTGGTAAACTTTTTTATTTATCACAATTTTCTTTAACCAATTATGTTCTTTAATGCAAGGCCGACAGACAAGTTCCTTACGTTACAGCCTTATTCTGAAATGGATTAGATAGTTTTCCCCCTCATCAATCTACACACAATACCCCCTTAATGACAAAACAAAAACAGGTTTTTAGAAATTTTAGCAAATGTATTAAAAATAAATAACGTAAATATCACATTTACATAAGTATTCAGACCCTTTACTCAGTACTTTGTTTAAGCACCTTTGGCAGCGATTACAGCCTCAAGTCTTCTTGGGTATGACGCTACAAGCTTGGCACACCTGTATTTGGGGAGCTTCTCCCATTGTTCTCTGCAGACCCTCTCAAACTCGGGTTGGATGGGGAGCGTCGCTGCACAGCTATTTTCAGGTCTCTCCAGAGATGTTCGATCGGGTTCAAGTCCTGGCTCTGGCTGGGCCACTCAAGGACATTCAGAGACTAGTCCCGAAGCCACTCCTGTGTTGTCTTGGCTGTGTGCTTAGGGTCGTTGTCCTGTTGGAAGGTGAACCTTCACCCCAGTCTGAGTGCTCTGGAGCAGGTTTTCATCAAGGATCTCTCTGTACTTTGCTCTGTTCATCTTTCCCTCGATCCTGACTAGTCTCTCAGTCCCTGCCGCTTAGAAAAACATCCCCCACAGCATGATGCTGCCACCACCATGTTCCAAACTTCTTCCATTTAAGAATGATGGAGCCCACTGTGTTCTTGGGGACCTTCAATGCTGCAGACATTTTTCGGTACCCTTCCCCAGATCTGTGCCTCGACACAATCCTCTCTTGGAGCTCTACGGACAATTCCTTTCACCTCATGGCTTGGTTTTTTCTCTGACATGCACTGTCAACTGTGTGACCTTATATAGACAGGTGTGTGCCTTTTCAAAATCATGTCCAATCAATTGAATTTACCTCAGGTGGACTCCAATCAAGTTGTAGAAACATCTCAAGGATGATGAATGGAAACAGATTCACCTGAGTTCAATTTCGAGTCTAATAGCAAAGGGTCTGAATACTTATGTAAATAAGGTATTTCTGTTTGTTTTTTTGTTTTTATTTGCAATCATTTCAAAAAAATCTGTTTTCGCTTTGTCATTATGGGGTATTGTGTGTAGATTGATGAGGATAAAAAAAAAAAAAACATTTTAGAATAAGGCTGTAACATAACAAAATGTGGAAAAAGTCCAGGGGTCTGAATACTTCATGAATGCACTGTACGAGCACCCTTTGAGCACCTATACTGCATAACCTCTGACTATGACCATTGTGTGAGTATGTGCACCATCTGTATGTGCAGTTAAAGGGTGTGTGTGATGGTGTCAAACTAAAATATATCAGCATCTGTGTTACAGACTAAGACCCCTCTCCTGAGTTGGTGTGTGTTTAGTCTCCCTCCCTGAGCAAGCAGCCCTGCACTTCCTATTCCTCTGATGTCATTTCCTGTCTTCTGTAATATAGCTCTGCTGCTCGTTGGTAGTTGAATATTGTTAAGATGACTTGTTTGTAGTATAACTTATTTGAGTTGTGGTGAATGTTGTTTTGGAGCCGTATTAGAGTGTAAGCTTGTCTCCTTTGTAGAGTGTAATGATTTCTGGAAGTAAAGCTTGAATTGGTGTGGTAGATGTACAAATAAGTTCCACTGGTTGGTATGTTCTATCTAGTGGGACACTCCCGATGGAGGCTTTGAGTTCCAGAAGAAACGAGAGTTGATTCTAGAGAGGGCCAGGCTGGAGGCCCAGCTTGCATGCCAACAATATGAGAGACATATGTCCAACCAGGTAACCCTAGTAACAAGCCATGGGTGGCCACGCCCCCTCAGGCTTACCAGCCAATCCCTGCCTCCGACTTACCTCATCTAGTGTCAGTGTGTTTGTGTGTGTGTTTATGTGTGTGGTCACTTCATGCTCTTAACCACTGGTCCCAAGTCAGTTTTTGTGTAAAGTGTTACATAGTTCCGAAGAGGGCTACAGTAGGGGTAGCTCATCCTAGATACAATGGGGAGAACAAGTATTTGATACACTGCTGATTTTGCAGGTTTTCCTACTTACAAAGCATGTAGAGGTCTGTAATTTTTATCATAGGTACACTTCAACTGTGAGAGACGGAATCTAAAACAAAAATCCAAAAAATCACATTGTATGATTTTTAAGTAATTCATTTGCATTTTATTGCATGACATAAGTATTTGATACATCAGAAAAGCAGAACTTAATATTTGGTACAGAAACCTTTGTTTGCAATTACAGAGATCATACGTTTCCTGTAGGTCTTGACCAGGTTTGCACACACTGCAGCAGGGATTTTGGCCCACTCCTCCATACAGACCTTCTCCAGATCCTTCAGGTTTCGGGGCTGTCGCTGGGCAATACGGACTTTCAGCTCCCTCCAAAGATTTTCTATTGGGTTCAGGTCTGGAGACTGGCTAGGCCACTCCAGGACCTTGAGATGCTTCTTACGGAGCCACTCCTTAGTTGCCCTGGCTGTGTGTTTCGGGTCGTTGTCATGCTGGAAGACCCAGCCACGACCCATCTTCAATGCTCTTACTGAGGGAAGGAGGTTGTTGGCCAAGATCTTGCGATACATGGCCCCATCCATCCTCCCCTCAATACGGTGCAGTCGTCCTGTCCCCTTTGCAGAAAAGCATCCCCAAAGAATGATGCTTCACGGTTGGGATGGTGTTCTTGGGGTTGTACTCATCCTTCTTCTTCCTCCAAACACGGCAAGTGGAGTTTAGACCAAAAAGCTCTATTTTTGTCTCATCAGACCACATGACCTTCTCCCATTCCTCCTCTGGATCATCCAGATGGTCATTGGCAAACTTCAGACGGGCCTGGACATGCGCTGGCTTGAGCAGGGGGACCTTGCGTGCGCTGCAGGATTTTAATCCATGACGGCATAGTGTGTTACTAATGGTTTTCTTTGAGACTGTGGTCCCAGCTCTCTTCAGGTCATTGACCAGGTCCTGCCGTGTAGTTCTGGGCTTATCCCTCACCTTCCTCATGATCATTGATGCCCCACGAGGTGAGATCTTGCATGGAGCCCCAGACCGAGGGTGATTGACCGTCATCCATTTTCTAATAATTGCGCCAACAGTTGTTGCCTTCTCACCAAGCTGCTTGCCTATTGTCCTGTAGCCCATCCCAGCCTTGTGCAGGTCTACAATTTTATCCCTGATGTCCTTACACAGCTCTCTGGTCTTGGCCATTGTGGAGAGGTTGGAGTCTGTTTTATTGAGTGTGTGGACAGGTGTCTTCTATACAGGTAACGAGTTCAAACAGGTGCAGTTAATACAGGTAATGAACAGTTAATACATGTAATGAGTGGAGAACAGGAGGGCTTCTTAAAGAAAAACTAACAGGTCTGTGAGAGCCGGAATTCTTACTGGTTGGTAGGTGATCAAATACTTATGTCATGCAATAAAATGCAAATTAATTACTTAAAAATCATACAATGTGATTTTCTGGATTTTTGTTTTAGATTCCGTCTCTCACAGTTGAAGTGTACCTATGATAACAATTACAGACCTCTACATGCTTTGTAAGTAGGAAAACCTGCAAAATCGGCAGTGTATCAAATACTTGTTCTCCCCACTGTATGTGGTTAAGGGCATTAGAGGTTGAATCCTAACTCTGCAAAAACCTGCCATTGACTTCAATGCAAGATTGCGTGAACGTTTACTTGGATCTCAAGTTAGGATTCAGCACTATGCGACCAGTAGGTGTGTTTGCTGGTGTGACCTCTATCCTGTTACCTAGCTAGCCAACCCATTACTTTTTAGACCTGTGTGTCAGTCTGCTGTTTTGCATATCTGTAACTTTGATCTTACCTTTGTTTACGCTTCTAGAGGTACAGTAGATGAAGGGAATTATTTGAAGCAGGTGCTTGTGTGTAGTGTTGATGTTTTTGTTGTGTCTTTGTGAGATTTTGTTGTGTGTAGCATGTTGCTATAGTTTGCAGTATGTGAAGTTGACCAATAGTTTACAAACATGAGGATTTTACCCTGACCCAGTCTGGGTCAATACCATGGGAGCTGTTGCACAGATATGATTGGTCCTGAGCTTCAGAGCAAAACAGGGATTGGCTCACACACTTTATAGGCCTAACCAAATGCTTTTGAACTTAAACGTTGGTTTCATTTCTTTAACAAGCTCTAGCCAGAGGGTTGAAAACCCTGTAGTTGAAACACACCAGGACCAAGGAAGAAGGAACAACTCCTGAGTGGCGCAGTGGTCTAAGGCACTGCATCGCAGTGCTAACTGTGTCACTAGAGATCCTGGTTCGAATCCAGGCTCTGTCGCAGCCGGCCGCGACCAGGAGACTCATGGGCGGCGCACAATTGGCCCAGCGTCGTCCAGGATAGGGGAGGGAATGGCCGGCAGGGATGTAGCTCAGTTGATAGAGCATGGCGTTTGCAACGCCAGGGTTGCGGGTTCGATTCCCACGGGGGGCCAGTATAAAAAAAAAAAAAAATGTATTCACTAACTGTAAGTCGCTCTGGATAAGAGCGTCTGCTAAATGACTAAAATGTAAATGTAATGTAAATGTAAACAACAGCATAGCACATAACAAGGAGAAGACATTAGCTGTGTTCGAATTCTATTCGCACAAACCGTACTATTTGTGACGTAAATTGAGTATGTAGTATGCTTATTGGTCATTGTATGGATATAGTTAGTATGCCAAAAGTTCCCGGATGTCGTACTACATTCGCCAAAATATGACTTATACATGCAGTGGACACTATTTCTGTGCTTTTAGGGCCCATAATGCAATTATTCAGAAAATGGGCGTGGCTTCACAACTTTTCAGATTTGAAGAAAATGGCTGAAAATATGCAGCCGAAGTCCGACGAGAGCTGATACAAATTCATTGCTTTAACTAATAATGACAAATGTTAAGAAAATGTTGAGCAATGTAATAAAGTAATGACTTTTCAAATAAGTTACGTTACACGTTATGTTGGCTGACAATTTGTTAGCTACGCTAGCCTTACGAACCGCATAGCATATCATTACAGCAGTTGCTTGTACAGTGAGGGAAAAAAGTATTTGATCCCCTGCTGATTTTGTACGTTTGCCCACTGACAAAGACATGATCAGTCTATAATTTTAATGGTAGGTTTATTTGAACAGTGAGAGACAGAATAACAACAAAAGAATCCAGAAAAACGTATGTCAAAAATGTTATAAATGTATTTGCATTTTGATGAGGGAAATAAGTATTTGACCCCTCTGCAAAACATGACTTAGTACTTGGTGGCAAAACCCTTGTTGGCAATCACAGAGGTCAGACGTTTCTTGTAGTTGGCCACCAGGTTTGCACACATCTCAGGAGGGATTTTGTTCCACTCCTCTTTGCAGATCTTCTCCAAGTCATTAAGGTTTTGAGGTTGACGTTTGGCAACTCGAACCTTCAGCTCCCTCCACAGATTTTCTATGGGATTAAGGTCTGGAGACTGGCTAGGCCACTCCAGGACCTTAATGTGGTTCTACTTGAGCCACTCCTTTGTTGCCTTGGCCGTGTGTTTTGGGTCATTGTCATGCTGGAATACCCATCCACGACCCATTTTCAATGCCCTGGCTGAGGGAAGGAGGTTCTCACCCAAGATTTGACGGTACATGGCCCCGTCCATCGTCCCTTTGATGCGGTGAAGTTGTCCTGTCCCCTTAGCAGAAAAATACCCCCAAAGCATAATGTTTCCACCTCCATGTTTGACGGTGGGGATGGTGTTCTTGGGGTCATAGGCAGCATTCCTCCTCCTCCAAACACGGCGAGTTGAGTTGATGCCAAAGAGCTCGATTTTGGTCTCATCTGACCACAACACTTTCACCCAGTTCTCCTCTGAATCATTCAGATGTTCATTGGCAAACTTCAGATGGCCCTGTATATGTGCTTTCTTGAGCAGGGGGACCTTGCGGGCGCTGCAGGATTGACAGTTATTTCGTGTTTCTTCCATTTGCGAATAATCGCACCATCTGTTGTCACCTTCTCACCAAGCTGCTTGGCGATGGTCTTGTAGCCCATTCCAGCCTTGTGTAGGTCTACAATCGTGTCCCTGACATCCTTGGAGAGCTCTTTGGTCTTGGCCATGGTGGAGAGTTTGGAATCTGATTGATTGATTGCTTCTGTGGACAGGTGTCTTTTATACAGGTAACAAGCTGAGATTAGGAGCACTCCCTTTAAGAGTGTGCTCCTAATCTGAGCTCTTTACCTGTATAAAAGACACCTCGGAGCCAGAAATCTTTGTGGTCCTCTGTAGCTCAGCTGGTAGAGCACGGCGCTTGTAACGCCAAGGTAGTGGGTACGATCCCCGGGACCACCCATACACAAAAAATAAATAAAAATGTATGCGCGCATGACTATAAGTCGCTTTGGATAAAAGCGTCTGCTAAATGGTATATTATTATTATTATGATAAAATACTTATTTCCCTCATTAAAATGCAAATCAATTTATAACATTTCTGACATGCGTTTTTCTGGATTTTTTGTTTGTTATTCTGTCTCTCACTGTTCAAATAAATCTACCATTAAAATTATAGACTGATAATTTCTTTGTCAGTGGGCAAACGTACAAAATCAGCAGGGGATGTTTTTCCCTCACTGTATGTACCTGTATGTTAGCTAGCTACCTAACATTAGTTGGATACTAATACATCGAACTTGCCAGTATATTAACTATATGCTATCTAACTAACTACCCAGTGTTTATTGACTTGATTATTCACGTAATTCTTAGATTAGCTAAGTGGTATAGTCGTTGTGCGTTCTCAATGGAGTCGTAAGATGTCTAGCTAGTAATTTGTTATGCTAACAAGCTAGATAGAAGTTGCATAGCAACCACATCAACATCCGGTAGACAGGCGAAGGGCTAGTACACTCAACTGAAAGGATACAGTTTGTTTACAGGATACTAAAATGAATTTATAGTATACACTCATCAAGTTTGTAGTATACAGTATGTTAGTATGGGTATTCGAACACAGCTATTGTCTGGTGGTTCTTTCAAAATCTTCAACATTGCTCTAGCGTTGTCACACACACACACACACACACACAGACAAGGCTATTGGGGACAGGGCACACATCCAACACTGACCACTTGAAGAGAGCACTGTCACCACATAGCAACACCATGTCCAATACCAGCTACATGGCCATAGCAACAGTGACCTCAGCACAATCAAGCTAGAGGACAACTGGCCATACCAGTCAATCTGGGTGAGGGTCAGCGAGAAAGGGACAGAGTGAGTTATGATCTAGTTAAGCCAGCTCAGAGGTCATCTGTAGTGTTACATAGTCACAGTATAGGACGCCAAACACCAATCTAAATCCTGCACACACATGTTCATCATACACACATACACAGTGGACAAACAGAGGTCACACACATACACATTCAACACCAGCTGGCTTGTCCCCAATTCCCCCAGTAGACCTGGATAATGTGTGTGTTGTTTAAGTGTACTCTCAGGAGAAGAGGGTCCCTAACCTTTATGTGTGTACTCCCTTTGATTCTCTACCAGGGAGAAGACAGAGTTCCAGGCAGCGGTCCCACGTTTACCACCCCTCTCACCCCTCCCTTCGGGCTGAAGCACCGCTCGGGTGAGTGCCGTCTGGGCATGGCTCACTACCGGGGTTGGGTAGAGGCCTGGATGGGTGGGTGATGGCGGATACCCCTCTATAGTCTTCATAATCAATACAATACACACATCTCAGTCAGATAGGTGCACAATACCTCCGACTGTCTACACAGACTACAGTCCCTAATAGAGTCCATTCATGCGTCCATCCTTTCTCTCCAAAATGAAGACATGGACGTCCTCAATCCCCTCCGCTCTGCTTCTCCCCCAAACCCCAAATCCTCCCACACCCCAATCCAGCTTTTATAGGGTTATACCATTACCCCAAAGTAAGAAAGACCTGGGTTCAGTTCCTCCAATAGTCAAGAGTCAATCCCCCCCCAAAAGTCACAACCCCCCCCCGAAAGTCACAACTTCTAATGAGGCACATAATACCTCATAACACCCTCTGTCCCCAAAAGCAGCAGCAGTTGGGTCATGCTGTAGAGGCTACCAGCCCTGTCCTGACTAACATGCATTGCTCCCATAATGTTTCTGTAACGCTGTGTGAACATGGCCCAGAGAGAAAGTGATGTGTGTTTGCTGAGAATACGTGGGTGTGAGTACTCTGCAACCAATCCCAAAGAGTGGCTATGGAGGAAGCGGATACAAACACACATACAGTCTCTTCCTTCTTTGAGTTAACTAACTGATGGACTGGTTAGCTACATCCCATGGAACAGAGCAATCCTTTCCGAACCCTCTATAGCTGTCTGGTACTCCTCATGGTCAGATGGCTTTGGGTGCAGGTTCACTGAAATTACTCTAGCGTCTGATATTTGCTGCTTGTAGAAATAGAGCTAGCATCCATCCAGCTAGTTGCTACGTACAGTAGGTTACTACTGTAGTGTGTGAAATGTAGCTTTACCTGCTAACATTAACAGCATGTCATGAAATCTGTATTGTGAAATGGCACTAATATTGATTAATTTTTTTATCTTTGTTTTGTGTTGTTTTTTTTCTCTCGCATATCCTTTGTTTCTTCTTTTCCTCTTTCCTCTTCCTCTCCTTTACTCCCTTTCTATCTTTCTACCAACTGCTGCATGACCTCTCACACCAATTCTCACTCCAATCACATCCCTTTATCTAACCCAATCTGCCTTTGCATGCGATTATCAACTGCCGCTGCCTGTTTCGTTCCCTTGTCTTTTAAAATTCAAACCGATTTTTCTATAACCTTTTCTGGTGTCTCGTGTTTTGGGGGTGTGGTTTTGGAATGGACCTGTCTTGTTCTACTTGGCCCCTCCCCCCTGTGCCACGCCCCACCCTGCCCTTCACCCCTCCCCCTCTACCTCTAGCCCCTGCCTCACTGCCCTGCTCGCCCCCGCCCTGTCTCCGCCCCCCCCTCACACAGGCCTTGTCCGTCGATAAAGACACTCCCCCTAGACCAAGCGATGGAGGCATGCACAGCAGTGGTAGGTCACTCCTTCCGACTATTCGGCCAATCGGAGGCCTCGAAAAGAAACAGCTCAACAGTCTCTCAGATGTTTGCAAATAATGTGCATTTGTGTGACTCACATTCCTCTCTCTCTCCCTCTTTCTCTCATTGTTTCCTTTTTTTATTTTCCACCTGTTTTTTCTCTGTGCCTCTTTCTATCTATCACTCTCTCTCTGTGATCTTTCTTCTCTAATCTGTCGTTCTAATCTATCTAATCTATCCCTCGTTCCAAGCCATGGGTGTGTGTGATGAAAGTGTGCACTGTACTTTTGCAGTCACATCTGTGCCTTGGACCACATGTTTGAGTTGTTTCCGATGACTCCACTCCCTGATTCTGTGTGTGTGTGTGTGTGTGTGTGTGTGTATGTGTGTGTATGTGTGTGTATGTGTGTGTGTGTGTGTGTGTGTGTGTGTCTGTGTGTGTGTGTGTGTGTGTTAGGCTTGGGCGATACACCTTTTGTACCGTATACCGGGGTATTTCGAAATACCAATGATATGATTTTCAATGCCGCTAAAACAGCAGCAGCTTGCAGGGGGCTGCGTGCTACACCACTACTTATAACTAACTAAAAGTTATTTATAACTATAAGAAATCTAAGATGTGTCAAATAAATTATATCCAGCTCAGGGCTCCAGCTATGCATTTGGTTTGCTAACTTACTAGGTAAGTGGCTAGATGTCAAGGTCAAGCTTCTTGGTTACAGCAGAGACATTCAATCCCATCCTGGATCAAATCCCTGTTGCCTAAATTGTTTTGTGCGTGCACATTTTTTTATTTATTGCGCCCCTTGTGTGCACTTCCGGTAATACCATATACCCGGTATGGTACAGAAACGGTATGATGGTATGAAAATCTAGATAACGCCCAACCCTAGTGTGTTTGTGTGGGAGCGGAACTCTGCCACTCATGTGGAGTGTGAGGCCCAGTAGATCAAATGAGAGCCTCCACACTTCACACTCCTCCTCTTCCTTCATCCCTTCATCTGTTCTCATGTTGGTGAGTGTGTTCTGGTCATCTATATTATAATAAGCTAAGCATTCTAAGCTGCAGGAGGGTCCTCCTACAATATTGGGATGATTTTCTTCATTTTAGGCTCAAAAGAAGAGCATTGTCCTCTTATATCCAGTAGGCCTCTTTATATTCCGCTGTGTTTTATATTTTTCCCTATTAACCCGGATCATAGCACTTGCTTTCTCTTTCAAATTCAATTTTGGCCTACCATGAACCCATGTTATCCATATATACCTATGTAAGAATGCTTTTCATTGACTATAGCTCAGCATTCAACACCATAGTACCCTCCAAGCTCATCATTAAGCTTGAGGCCCTGGGTTTGAACCCCGCCCTGTGCAACTGGGTCCTGGACTTCCTGACGGGCCATTCCCAGGTAGTGAAGGTAGGAAACAACATCTCCACTTCACTGATCCTCAACACTGGGGCCCCACAAGGGTGCGTGCTCAGCCCCCTCCTGTACTCCCTGTTCACGCATGACTGCGTGGCCAAGCACGCCTCCAACTCAATCATCAAGCTTGCAGACGACACAACAGTAGGCTTGATTACCAACAATGACGAGACAGCCTACAGGGAGGAGGTGAGGGTTCTGGGAGTGTGGTGCCAGGAAAATAACCTCTCACTCAACGTCAACAAAACAAAGGAGATGATCGTGGACTTCAGGAAACAGCAGAGGGTGCACCCCCCTATCCACATCGACAGGACCGCAGTGGAGAAGGTGGAAAGTTCCTTGGCCTACACATCACTAACAAACTGAAATGGTCTACCCACGCAGACAGTGTGGTGAAGAAGGCAGAACAGAGCCTCTTCAACCTCAGGAGGCTGAAGAAATGTGGCTTGGCACCTAAAAACCTCACAAACATTTACAAATGCACAATTGAAAGCATCCTGTCGGGCTGTATCACCGCCTGGTACGGCAACTGCACCGCCCGCAACCGCAGGACTCTCCAGAGGGTGGTGCGGTCTACCAAACGCATTACCGGGGGCAAACTACCCGCCCTCCAGGACACCTACAGCACCCGATGTCACAAGTAGGCCAAAAATATCATCAAGGACATCAACCACCCAAGCCGCTGCCTGTTCACCTCGCTATCATCCAGAAGGCAAGGTCAGTACAGGTGCATCAAAGCGAATGAAAAACAGCTTCTATCTCAAGAGAATGAAAAACAGCTTCTATCTCAAGGCCATCAGACTGTTAAATAGCCTTCCCTAGCACATTAGAGGCTGCTGCTGCCTATTGAAATCACTGGCCACTTTAAGAAATGGAAAACTAGCCACTTTAATATTGTTTACATATCTTGCATTACTCATATCATATGTATATACTGTATTCTATAATATTCTACTGTATCTTAGTCCATGCCGCTCTGTGATTGCTTGTCCATATATGTATATATTCTTAATTCCATTCCTTACTTAGATTTGTGTATATGTTGTGAAATTGTTAGATATTACTTGTTAGATATTACTGCACTGTCAGAGCTAGAAGCACAAGCATTTTGCTACACCTGCAATAACATCTGCTAAACACGTGTATGTGACAAATAAAAATTGATTTGATTTACACTGTATATATAACAAAAACAGTACAGGAGGGCTCCAGATTTATTAAAGAAATAAGTTGTTTCATCTAACATGTCCAAGCAGGAATGCATCATACAAATATTTTGTTGTGCAATACCAGTGATTGGTATGAATTTGTTGCTATAACTTTACTGTCAAAATAGGGCTCCAGAATTGCAGATTTGCATACAAATTTTGCTTACATCTTTTGAGTACAAATAGGCTATCACATAGGCTAATTCACTTGTGGTTAAATCACTGAGGAAGGGGAAACTCGAAACCAAAGAACAACAAAACCACAACTGTAGCTACTACATTTTGAAATGTTGCGGCAAATTTTTCTTTTTTTTATCTTCCTCCCCCCTCTGCTTTAATGCAAGAATCAGCATGCTACTGTTTGGCACGGTTACTATTACATTTACATTTACGTCATTTAGCAGACGCTCTTATCCAGAGCGACTTACAAATTGATGGTATTGCATCATGTCAATGCCATTATGATGTAATTTTGCTCCCAAGTCAAAGCCTATAAAAGCACAGCTACTCAGTGGGTATAACAATAGTCATGTCCTGACGCAGACGATACACTTCTCGCCCAGTCCACAGGAAGCATAAAGCCACTCGGACCATGAGGCGCAAGAGGAGAGTTTGCTCCCTGTTAAGTGTTCTTTGGGCTGCAAAGCTCACTGGCAAAAATGTATTCTAAATAAAAATGAGGGCTTTTAACTAACTTTGAAGACTTTCTTTTTTTTAATTAGATGGTTATTTGTTTATTTTCCAGGTTTTTGTGTTTGAAATGGCACCTTTACTACAGGAGATGAAGCTGTCATAAAGCATTTGATGGAAGCGTTTGTAGACCAATTTTGAATCTGTAGAATTAGGCCTACATTTCTCATAATGCTCATTGACTGGACATGGCAATTATACGTCACAATAGTAATATACATTTTGCAACATGCAGCAATCCACAGTACAGTATCAACTGCGCTGCTTCGCTTATGGTGGACCCGTGCTTAAAATCTTCAACAGCATCTCACGATAACCCACTGCCCTATTTTCCACAACTCTTTAACTAACCCTCAAATCCTTTCAAATAATGCTGTCAAATAAAGCAAGTTACAGCATATAATGAGTAAAATAAGCACTAGGCCTAAAACATAGGCAACAAATGTGAGCCGGTAGACACACTAGAGAGGTGGAAATTACACTTCCAAGCTTAGATGTGATTGCATCCGTGTGAGCTACAAATTCTAGCTGGTCACTTCACTCAAAACGTTATATTTTTGGGGCAGCTAAAACCATGATTCGGTCCAACAGTAGCATCCTGATTCCTGCATTAAAGCGCTCGGAATAGACTAGATGGAGAGAAGGGGGAAGGAAGATAAAAAATTGAACTTCTTTTGCGCAACATTTCAAAATGCAGTAGGCTACAGTTGTGGTTTTGTTGTTCTTTTTGTTTCGAGTTTCCCCTTCCTCAGTGATTAGCCCCAAGTGAATTAGCCTATGTGATAGCCTATTTGTATGCAAATCTGCAATTCTGGACCCCTATTTTGACAGTAAAGTTATAGCAACAAATTCATGCCAATCACTGGTTTAGGTATTGCACAACAAAATATCTTTATGATGCATTCCTGCTTGGACATGTTAGATTAAACAACTTATTTCTTGAATAAATCTAATCTAAGTCTGGAGCCCTATTGTACTGTTTTTGTTATATATATATATATATATATATATATATATATATATATATATATATATATATATATATATACAGTGGGGAGAACAAGTATTTGATACACTGCCGATTTTGCAGGTTTTCCTACTTACAAAGCATGTAGAGGTCTGTAATTTTTATCATAGGTACACTTCAACTGTGAGAGACGGAATCTAAAACAAAAATCCAGAAAATCACATTGAATGATTTTAAAGTAATTAATTTGCATTTTATTGCATGACATAAGTATTTGATCACCTACCAACCATTAAGAATTCCGGCTCTCACAGACCTGTTAGTTTTTCTTTAAGAAGCCCTCCTGTTCTCCACCTGTATTAACTGCACCTGTTTGAACTCGTTACCTGTATAAAAGACACCTGTCCACACACTCAATCAAACAGACTCCAACCTCTCCACAATGGCCAAGACCAGAGAGCTGTGTAAGGACATCAGGGATACAATTGTAGACCTGCACAAGGCTGGGATGGGCTATAGGACAATAGGCAAGCAGCTTGGTGAGAAGGCAACAACTGTTGGTGCAATTATTAGAAAATGGATGACGGTCAATCACCCTCGGTCTGGGGCTCCATGCAAGATCTCACCTCGTGGGGCATCAATGATCATGAGGAAGGTGAGGGATCAGCCCAGAACTACACGGCAGGAGCTGGTCAATGACCTGAAGAGAGCTGGGACCACAGTCTCAAGGAAAACCATTAGTAACACACTACGCCGTCATGGATTAAAATCCTGCAGCGCATGCAAGTTCCC